GGCGAAAGTGACCGGGCAAGCGTTAGTGGCTGCTGCTGCCTTGGTGGCGGTTGTTTTCAAGCAGCAGCAGCAGCAGCAGCAGCAGCAGCAGCAGCAGCAACACCAAGCGTAGTGAAGCTAGGCATTGGTCGGTCGGACCGCTTTTTCTTTTTTTCCCTTCATTTCGTTGGTGTCTCGTTTTCTCAACAAGAACAGAGCAAGAAGAACAGGAGAGAAATAGACGTGGCGTATCGTGTCTTGTGTTCGTGTGTGTGTTTCCGCGAGTTTTTGCGGCTTTTCCCACCGGACCGCTGGTTGAACTGGCGGTACGATTTTTCCCGCTGGAATTTGTTCAACTAAGCGGACGTCATCGATCTGGGGACGGCAAGACACCATGCGGCCAAGCGTCGCCGGCGGTATATCAACCGGAAAATCGTGGTTGGCGTCCTGTCGAATTTGTTTTCTCTTGACGCAAGTCGGTGGCGATTGACCTGAGAAATCAGCGCATACTGTTTTTTCCTGGTTGCTGCTCTCCGAGCAGCGTATGGAACACGGCGTTACAACAGCAGCAGACTTAGCTTGCAACCCAGTTTTTGTTGTATCTTGGCCGCATCACACATGTAGTACCTGTTATTGGAGTACACGGGCTTGCTTCTTCAAGCGGGCGACACCACACCGACGTACGACGTTCATTTGGTTGGTAGAGGTGTACAGCAGCGCGTTCTCCTGTTCTCTGGGCTTATGGTGTACGGGGTCTCGCGCCTTTGAGGTTTTTCGTCTGATTGTGTTTTGAATCGGAAGAGCTTCCTCGCTCCAAAGATTATTTGAAGGACAACAGAGTATGGGTGCGTGTTGTTGAAGTGCATTTTTTGGGAGGGGGGGGCGTACTCTTATGTTTTGCATGCCTTAGCGGTTAGACCATTGACCACGCGTCCTCGAGAGGACGGAGCATTGTTCCCACAGGACCGATCACCGATGGCCAATCGTTCCTTTCTGCTTTGCCAAAGGTGGCTCAAAAATGTCTTCCCTAGTCTGTCCATCCTCACGATATCCCTTCCCNCATTTTTTGGGAGGGGGATTGTATGTTCGGCGACCTGTCCGCTAGAGTACGGACACTTGGGTCGCGAAAGTTGGTAGACAGGAGAGCGAAGTTCACAACAAGTACCACCTCGTTTTTCCTGTTGGCGGTGTTGATGTCAACTGGTGGACGGGGGCGCTATGCTTACATACATGCATTTAGGAGGTCCAAGACCGAGAAAAACAAATGGATTATGACAATGAGCGGGATGTCAACTCCCCCCCCCCCCAAGTGTTTGCCATCGGGGTTGGGTTTTCGTCGCTTGGCAACGACGTTGTAAAACAAGCCAAGTCACTTCGTCAGCTCGGCAACCAGGTTACCGTTTTTTTTTTTACCTCCGTTTTTTTTTT